CACGTGAGGATAAAAATAATTACAAATACAAACTATTTATTTGTATTCATTTGTAACTTTTCATTTGATGAAATGTGGTCAATTTGTCCTCCAGCAGTCTAAGCCTATAGCAGTGTAACTAAGGGACAGCTCAGGAAACCCAAGCCGACCCTAACCATAGGATTTTTCACAAAGGAAAGTCTTACGTCCAGTCTTAAAACTGGACATTGTGTCAGCCTCACGGACAGAAACTGGAAGTTGGTTCCACAAGAGAGGAGCCTGATAACTGAAAGATCTTCCTCCCATTCTGCTTTTGGAAACTCTAGAAACCACAAGTAAACCTGCAGTCTGAGAGTGAAGTGCTCTTTTGTGAAAATATGGAACAATAAGATCTGTAATATAAGATGGAGCTAGGTTGTTGAGAGCTTTGTAGGTTAGAAGTGTCTAATGATTTTGTGTGTGGGTACGTCTCTGCCTAATTTGCTTGAAACCTTTTACACATTTTAAGTCCATACATACTATAGTTTTACTAAATGACTTAACTGAATTTCTGAGTTATAGCCGTTTGTAAAAATCCTTGTTTTTTGTACAAGAGACGCAGGTTGTATTCTACTGTAGTGATTCTGTATTTTCACCTTCATCTTGAGGTCCATGCAGCAAAATCTCTTTATGGATGTAAATGATATCAAACAACAAAATATTTTTCACAAAGTCTGGAGGCAGATTTGCATATTTTATCCCAGGTTATAGATTAGTAGTTGCAGCTTCTTCTGCTATGTCAGCTCAGTACACTAAGATTAGTGATGACACTGCTTTATACAAATGTGTTGCAGCATTGCTTGTTATTTGGATCGCGACTAATATCTTGACCTTTTTTTTCGCTTTTTGTTATACTTGACAGTTATTTGGTTCATGGGAAAATAGGCTTTACTTTTGAGTCAAATTAGATAACCATTTCATATCCACTTGTAGTTTGTGCTGCAATGACCGTTTAAAAACAAATGGAGGCCTATGAGTTTGTCGTTGTTGGCCCCGGGGGTTCACTGTATGTGGTTGCTGGTGGGGATCTTCCGGTTCTCCCCTGTGGTCCGTTCTGGGGGGTGGGTGAGTGGTTCGCCCTGTGTGGGTGGCTCTGGGGGCTCCGCGGTCGGGGTCCCTCCTGGGGTCTTGGGCTCTGGTCCCCCCTTTTTCGTCTGC